GACACACGCAGCTGACAAAAGACGTGCAGTATCGGCATGCAGTAAAGTTGACCGACTTCCAATCAAGATCCTTGAGGAGAGCTGGTTGCTGCAGATGTATGTCCATAGGACGAATCACTGAGAGAATAACAATTGATAGGTAACCATCCTCACGTCTCTCTGAGGGAAAAAGGCTGAAGTCAGGAGGTAGAAAAGACAGAAGAAGACGAGCAGATAGAGAGATGAGAAGAAAAAATACACGCGAGAGCTAACTCCATTGTGATTGCATTGTATCGAGATCTGAACTAGATGAAACAGATTTGACGTATTTATTGAGCCGATCTTCGTGATGTAGCTCTATAGTGACTTTGCACATGCATAGGTTAGCTCCCTTGGTGAGGTGCTAGCAAGTATCTCGTCTTGGTGTAAGCTTGTAGAACCTCGTGTCATACCGACCGGCAGACTTCGGAACAGACTTGTAGAACCTGAGCTCATACAGTATCCTGTTGAGTTATTCTAGAATTTATTGAGCCTTCTGATGCTATCTTCCAGCCATTATTTACCTCACTAGACTTAGTACGGCTATAAGATCCTCTTCAATTGGATTTACCACTGACATTCCTGATAAGACAATTGTCGTTATACGGCAGGATCCGTCGGTGATTCTTATAATTTTGAGCGTTCTGATAACTCTATTTTCCGCCTGGTGCTCTTTCTGCTGCGGAACTCCTCATGAGCCTACTGCCATGGGTGCCTCGACTCTAACTAACCTAGTTGGTTCCCAGCAATACAGCTGCCCGACTCAGTTACCTTATTATTGACTCTCGCGAGTATATCGGACTTGTTATCTGTGTGTATATCTCATCGCAATTTGACCGAACAGTCCATTATTCAAAGTTTTATTAAATTCTGATATTAAAATATTCTGACTTCTTTCAGACTGATTTGATCCTTACGTCGACCCCAGGTAAACTGAGCGAGCTCTGGCAACCTTACGCGAAGCGTCAGGTGGTATAACGGTTAGCATTAGTGCCTTGTACGAGCGCTTCCGGTGGTATAAATCGTTATAGCTGTGCGCTTTACGTGAGACGTTGGATGGTATGACGGTTTTGTATTGATGTCTTTAAATGTTACAGTTCTGGGATAGCGATGTTCATTAGCAATGTTGCATAGGCGCGCTACCAGTGAAAAGAAACTATTTTTGCATGTCTCCTACTTTTCCTCGAAAAAATCTAACTTGAATTCATGTGGGAACTGAAAGCATTTGCATACTTAAAAAAAAAATCGATTTTGAAAATTTTAGTTTCATTGAAAATAAGTAGGCATTTCATCGATTACGGAAATGTATAACATGTATTATACATATACTTATAGTGTATATTATAATTATCAACTTTTTGAGAGTCTAAAGCCTCATAAATTAACATTAAGTCAACTCTATGTTAGAGTTTATAGAAGTTAGACCTTTGCTTTTTTTCTCAAGCTAGAAGTGCTTAAAGGAGAAAATTTTAATTCTAAAAGAATTTGAACTCAGATTTGAGAAATCTCCGTTAGACTCCTCCTCGAGTCCGAAAAACACAATTTGGAATCATGTTGCTATCTGTCTGTGTGAACAGATATTAAAACTTTCAGAGCACTGCGGGATGAAATTTGTATGAATCTTTACACATAATTTGTACGTTTCTATCAAATGTGGACAAACCGCCCCATGATCTGTAGTAATATGTCTAGTGCATGAACGCGATAACAAAAACTTCAAAATACTTCAGGTGGATGTAAGATTTGGTACTTAAAACTTTATCACAGGACGAATGAGTTTGCATCAAATTCTGAACCAAATCGATCAAGCTAGGATTGACTATCTGTCTGTCTGCATAATCACAACCTTTGAACGCATAACTCTTCTTTTAGCAATTACTTGATAAATGAAATTAGATGTGGCTTCTTACATAATTGGAGTCACTTTAATTAATTTGCTCGCATCAAAAAAAAAGCGCTCCAGTACGCAAATTCTCTCGTTTTTTCTGATTACCATTATTCCACCCGCGTGGTCGACACTCTACGTGTGATTGGACTGAATCGTGGTATGACATTCGTTTTTTTTTTCTCACTTGGGTTCTTATTTGGTTTACCCGTTTCATCCTGTTTGACACTTTTCCTCTGCAGGTGTTAGGAGTACTACAGAAAGTTTGGGAGACGACCCAGCTCGGTTTGCCTTCAACATTAAAGATCCATCTTCTTATCGCGTTTCTGTGCGAACTCTCAAGGTTTTCTTCTTTATTCGTCTCCTAGAATTGATCAGTTGTAAGTTTTTCCCTTGATCTTTGCATCGTTGATAGGAAAGCAGCTCCCAGTAGGCTTGGAGACTACAGATCCGAAAAAATTTAAAGATCATCTTCAGTACATAGATCTAAGAGATGAGCAGCAAAATTAAGACATTTTTACAAATAGTAATGATTGTTCCACTGAAATTGATGGACAAGTAAAAGTTGAGCAGCTGAAATCGACATGAAAATAAAATTGTTTATTCTTGAAAAGGAAAGAGGGGACTGCCCCCTCGTCCCCTCCCTCTCCAGTCCTTTGCCACTGGGAGTCAGCACAACTTCCAAATCTTCAATCGACATCCTGCTTTGAGGGAGCAAGCTCCGATAATGTCCAAGTCCAAAATAAGTTAAAGATTAACAAAAAGTTTTAAAACACGGTTTTTAGTGTTTCCAAAGCAGAATTATATCTTTTTTCCAAAACCAAGATCGATCCGATAAAATCGATGAGCTACTTGATAGAAAATACTTTATCTAATTGATATTATCTATTAATTTTAATTTTGAAAATGTTTCGAATTTTCTTGCTTGGCTTATCACGTATTGTTCGCATTCATCGTGGAGCCTAATGCTTTTTTATACCTTTATTAGAGTAAAGAGAAGTTATAATGATTCTATTTTTCACGCTTAAAAAGTGTTTTAAAACTTTTCTTTTTTGTATTTTTTGACTTCTTTTGTCTTTTTAATTTCATTTGTCTCAGAAGACAGAATTCCTTAAGTCAATTTTTTTTTTAAAATATCACTGATGAGTGGCGACACTAAATTCCATGAAAGATAAGTCACATGCCGCTTTCTTTAATCGACCTATTACTGAATAGATATTTTTCTTCACCTGTAACTGCATGAACATTTTGATTTTTGTGTTCTGGCAGCCTCCCTGAGAGGTCAGAGGTAGTCGGTCAGTTGCCTGTACGGATGTGAGGCTGGGGTCTGATCCCCCCCTCCAGATTTGTTTTCTTAGTTTGCTAGAAGCAACGCTTGAATAGATCATTTTTCTTCATCGCAGCCATAACATTTTGATTTGTTGTTCTGGCAACCTCCTCAGATGTGGAGGTGTAGCTCAGTGGTAGAGCGCTTCGCTTTGTATGTAAGGCCCGGGGTCTGATCCCCTGCACCTCCAGATTTTTTCTATTATACTAGAATGAACCGATCAGATCATTTTCATCACCTGTAGCACATGAACATTTTGAGTTTAGCTCTTCGGACAGCAGCCTCCTCCAGACTGACGTCAGGGGTTGTTAAGCTCAGGCTAGAGCATTCCGGTTTAGCATGTAAGGCCCGAGTCTCAGTCCCCACCTGAGATTTTGTTTTCATCATTATCTATGATAAGTAGCCTTTGAATAGATCATTTTTCACTGCCTGCAGCCATGATACATTTTGATTTGGTTGGTTTTTTGCAACCCCTAGACGGCCTCGGAACAGTGGGGAGTGTAGCTCATAGAGCTTTAGATTTAGTAGGAAAGGTCCGTGGATCTGATCCTCCCACTACTCAAGTTTGGTTTTCTGCCTATTACACTAGAAAGGCAGAGTAATGGTTACTAACTTCGTATCATTTATACACGCATACTAGCTGATTTAGATGGGAGAATATTATTTATGCTCACAAAACACACCGTACAAGTGACTTGTTTCCTTCCTGCTCGTAGTTGTAGTATGAAAGTTGTGGATATGATTTAGAGGCTTCATTTTTTAAATGTGGATCAATCCATGAAGGGGTTCATTTCGAGAAAGCAATCTCAAAATTGACTAGCCTAGTGGATAAAATTTCTTGAAACTATTGAGATTTGATTATTACTACACAGAAAATATAACTACTATTGGAGGATTAGTGCAAAACAGGTTAAATATGGAGAAACTTATGCGTTACTCTGAAGCCTCCATTAGTTGAATAATGAAGAATGTCATAAAATACTCACTTTAAAGGGAACGAAAATTTAAACCTCAGAAAATTCTTCGATTTTATGAAAAAATATATATATCCTATGTCTTCTTTTCTGAAACACAATTTAAAGTCAATCCATGCATTTAAATTCCCATAATTATGAATATGAAGGAAAATGTACTACTATTCAACCTAAGATTCATGAAATGTGCATCAGTCATTCTAAATGCGTCAGTTTATTTTTTCTAATATGGCACGATATCTCAAACTATTGAATATTTTGTACATAAAATTCCTTACTGAAATTGCTATGTGCTGCTAAGTTCACAATTAGCCACATTCTTGTTCATATTTTCCAAAGTAGTGTTTTTTTTAGGAGGCGGGGGAAAAGTAAAATTGAATTTAACTATTTTAATAGTTTTATTTTTAAATTGGTATATAAAATAGAAATTAACTTAAATATTAACATACTTGAGAGTTCAGCTTTTTTAAATGCAGACTGTTTGGATTCTTAGACTTTAAAAATATTGTATTTAGATTAATATTTTTATTCGTAATCATGGCGCAAGGATGACTATCTCATTGTCCAAAATTATAAAATATTTATACTTCCTCTCAAATAAATCAGCCATGGCGAAGTGTTTGAATGTCTTAAATTCCATAAAAGAGAAAGAAATCAGATGTTTTTTCTAGGTAAAAACTGAGTTTGTGAGATTACATTGTTTCAGAGTTATAATGCTATCAGATTTGATTTCACCATTTTTTTCAGAGTTTAAAGAGCGTGTATGTCCCCTTGGGTATAGTAACAAATTATTTTTTTTTCTGCCTAGGAATTCTTGGACCCTCACAAAAGCAAGCTAATCTGGATCGATTATTTTCAAAACGGTAAAGCCAAGAAGATAAAATTTACTACCAAGGTATGAAGTGAACACCTTCAGGTGTGGAATTCTTAATTGAGCAACTCAAATTGAACATTTATACATATGATTTTACTCATGGCAGCAATGTACAGTTTTGGGAATGTCTTAATGCCGCAAACACTTATATTTCCAAATTATTAGTTTTATACTATAATGTCCTTATAAGTATTTATCAGATATCATCATGTTAATGGTGATGCGTATCACTATTAAGATTTCATCCACCATGGCTATCATTATTCGACCGATATATTATTATTAATCCCGTACTTCTGCTTATTATTTAGCATTGTCCAATAAGTAATCAGTATTAACAGTATTTTTCTGTACCATAATCATGATTATTGTCCCGTATTCAATATAATCATGATGTTATTTGTCCTGTATCATAGTAATAGTTTTGCTCAATCAGTATTGATAATGGTATTTTATTCGCCTCAATTATATTGTTGATAAAGCGCACAGAAGGTATTTTATGCTTACATATGCTGTTTATCATCCATTAATTATTTCGTATCTTATGTATAATTATTTACACGTATTTCCTTACCATGAATAAGGCTTAGTTTCCCATTATCATTTATCCTCGCATGATATTATTATTCAATTCCTTCCGCAATAATGATTGCCTAATCATATTCGCCTTTCATCAGGTATTATTAGTGATATCTCATTTGAGTGTTGTCACTATCTACAATGGTATTTACTATCGTATCATATTAAGGTATTTTCCACTATCATACTTATAGTATTGACTCATTGCTATTAAGTATTGTTTCGTCCGCTATCATGTTTTTATATTATTATTCATCCCTATCATATAAATTATTTCATCCTTATCATAGCATTAATATTATTCGCCTGTATCATATTAAGTGTGTATTTGCTGATCATTATTAATGGTATTTGCCTCATTCATATTAATAGTTTTCATCCGACATTATTAAAAAATTATCAAATCCCGTATCATTAGTCGATTATTATTCCCCGTATCACAGTATAATAATTATTTCTTACATATCTATGTATTGCCGATCATAACTAGTATTTATCCTGTATCTTTACATATTATTCATCCGTATCAATTACTATTATTATTTCTATCATATTAAGCCGCTAACTATCCAATTATGTTAATGTGACCCGTGTGAAGAAGCTGCCAGTTCAATCAACCTATCTTGGTTGGGAAATGCGGGATGTATGATATCAGGGCAACTCGATGATAAAGGCAATGACTAGAGCAAGAAATTCGCTTAGAACAGATATATTCTGAGTATTTAATGTCATCTCACAAAAATACCCTTTTGCTTTTTCCTCGGTTGCTAATTTCTACAAACGCTGGAGAATTTATCCAGCTTATGACACGTGCTGTTGCATAATCCTTCATGGTACTGTTTTTGTCAATTAATTGAATATTCCAGAATCAGTTTTCTTTTGTGAAAATCCACAATCCTTTTCCTAAAAACTTACATACAGCATAAAAAAAGAAGTGCACAGAACGATTACTTAAGGTTAATCTTGATGATGACGCAAGACCTCATACGTCAAACAAACAACAAAATCGTCTAGAAGTAAATTGGAAGAGCCTGCATCATCCATTCTATAGTCCAGATTAAGCTGCAATTTTATTTGTATTGGACCTTTAAAAAATTTTTTTGGAAAATGCTTAGAGGATCAGGAATTGGCAAAACACGTTCCTGGAATACTTCTCAAACTAACTTGACAAACGCGAGTACAAAGGAACGATGTACAAACTGATGTACGTGAGGATAAATGTCCGAACGCATAGAATGTCGTCGAAATTAACAAAAGTATGATAGTTTTGGAGAAATGTATTAAATATTTTAGAATTATAATATAATTTCAGGTCAATTTCGTCTTGTATCTTTATTATAGGCCTCGTTAAAAGAATTATTTATGTTATCGCTATACAAAACTGAGTAAGCGAGTTTAACTGATGCGAACGTATTTTCAATTTATTCCTCTGAGCGTCGCAATTATTTTGAACTCTAGTAATATCAGGTTGGAATTCTTAGTTTAAGGCAATAAATCGATCAATTTTGTATTTAATTACATCTTTGAATAAGAACACTTTCCATGGTTGTTTAAGAAAATATTCTATATATTAATACAAGAAAAACTTTGTACCTTTTAGCGCATTAACTTTGGAGAGGAGTGTGAGTTTATAGCATAGTTAAAGTTCCATATGAGAGAAAGGAGTACGAAAAGATAAAATTTATGTATATTATGTGTTATAAATACATTAAATTAAATAAAATAAAACATTCATTATTTTATTCATGCTACTGTAAAGAATTATGCGGAGTAAATGGCGGGAATTTGGGAATGAATGCGAGGTGGATGATATGTAATTAATTTATCCTGAGGTGAAATCCACTCATAGAAGTGAGTTTATTCAGATTATTTATAAAAAAAAAAACATCTTTCGAGGAAGTACAAAATGCGGACGATTTTAATCGCTCAATGACAAACAAATTATTAGTCTGTGATCAAGGCAATTCGCCAGAGTAGAGATTGTCTCTAAGAATTTACTATGGTATATTCTTATCATTGATTAAAAAAAAAAAAACATTCATTGTTTTACGTCATAACTTAAATTCAAAACTTACTCAGAAATCTTGCATCAAATAGACGCATGTATTTCCTTTTTTTTTAACTCGCCTGGCTTTTTTGTTTTTAAATAAAAATATATTAAAAAAATACGAAGAACGTTTCTTTATTTTATTTTTTGACATATAATTTTTATTTTAAATTCTTATATAATTTGAAAAGATATAAATTAACTGTTCTAGGGCCTTGAATGAAATCCTGCATGGTATAAGAATAAAAAACTTAGAAAGAAATGTCAAAACGCGTTATTGTTTTAAATCACAACTTTAAGGCTTACTCATTTTTCTCTACGTTCTGATATTTTTTAAATAATTTAAATAATTTATTAATGCGATTTATACACCCTTCGCCAGTTGCGCGAATAGGACAAAAATTCCAAAAGAATATATGCACATGATTGTAGAGGTATAACTATCTTTGTAACAAGAACCCAATAACGTTCAAACTTAAAATTTAATGAATGTACGGATGTAATTTCGACACGCAGGACCGTCTAGCTATATAGACTTCAAAACGGACCGCTCTACTTTTGAAATGAACATGAAAAAACCGAAAAGACATTTGCACGCCACTGGAGGTTATGTTCATCAATACATATGTTTAAATACAATATCATATTAATACATATTTTGATTATCAGGATCAATATTGCAAATTTTTGAATTTTTCTTTTGTACCTTTTCGGTA